AGCAGACTCCCCGCCGAGCAGGGAGCCCGATGCGGGACTCGATCCCGGGACTCCAGGATCATGACCTGAGCCGAAGGCAGTCGCTTAACCAACTGAGCAACCCAGGCGCCCCTTAGAACGTGTTTATTAAACACGATGTCTTCGGATGTAATGCGGGGTATTTGCGTGGTGCCTCCCTGGTTTCTGGAAGGAGGCAGAGGGCAGAGACCCGCCCCATGTGAGCACGGCCCGTACGCCTGACGAGGGCCCAGATTCCCGTGTTTAGCCCAACCTGTCTTCTAGAAATACGTTTTTGTGGGCCATTGCGTGCCTGCTGAGCTGGGACAGGTGAGTGCTGTGGGAGTTCCCCTCAAGAACAAGAAGTGGAGTCAGGACGCTTGAATATTTATTTTGCTATTTAATATTCTGAGGAAAGGGTGCCTGAGTTGAGGAACCCTCCACAGAGTAGGAAGAAGAAACTCTTGAACTGGGTGGTTTTACTCTGAAACTGGGAATGCTTGACATTGCCTGAGCGAGCTTACAGAGGCATCTAGCTCGTAAGAAATAATGCCTCAGGATGGCGGTGCACAGGAAGGGCGCCATCCTCTAGCCCCACACCTGCTTGTTCTTGGAATTAACATGGATTCCGGGGAGGCTGGCTGTGGAGAGCCGGGGCACCTCGGACGGGCCACCGCACAGACTGTGCTGATGCTCCCCGTCCTCGTCACGCACGGTGGGGCCATGCGGGGCCCTGTAGTCAGGGCTCTGAGTCCAGAGTCAGGGTGGGGACAGCCTTTGCACCTGCAGACAAGGGCCCAGGGTGGGGGCAGAGCATCGGGGGCCCCAGCCAGACCCCGTGGCTTCGCTCCGTCGATGACCATGGTTGCTCAGGCTCTGGCCACGCTGCCTGGGTCCGTGGAGGTCTTACCTGCCGCCAGGTGACCCGGAGTCCCTTATGGAAGCTGCAGATCCGTGCTCTCTTTAACCACCATGGGGTTCCTGCCTGGGATAGGGGGCCTGCCTGGGGGGGCCTGCCTTGGATGGGGGGCCTGCCTGGAGGGTCCTGCCTGGGGGTGTCCTGCCTGGGATAGGGGACCTGCCTGGATGGGGGTCCTGCCTGGGAGAGGGGTCCTGCCTGGGGGGGTCCTGCCTGGGGGGGTCCTGCCTGGGGTGTCCTGCCTGGGCGTGTCCTGCCTGGGAGAGGGGTCCTGCCTGGGGGGTCCTGCCTGGGAGAGGGGTCCTGCCTGGGGGGGTCCTGCCTGGGGGGGTCCTGCCTGGGGTGTCCTGCCTGGGCGTGTCCTGCCTGGGAGAGGGGTCCTGCCTGGGGGGCCCTGCCTGGGAGAGGGGTCCTGCCTGGGGGGTCCTGCCTGGGAGAGGGGTCCTGCCTTGGATAGGGGTCCTGCCTGGGGGACACTGCCTGGGATAGGGGGCCTGTTCCAAAGGAAAAAGGCGGAGCCCAGCCGGGGAAAGGGCTCACCTGAGCCACATAACTGACGTGGGCCGAGTGGCCCCAGGGCCTTGGGATCTCCTTACACCTGATGGTTCTGGGACCACTGGGCAACTGTCTTGCTTGTTCCTGGCATTGATCAAACCTCTCTTCTTTGCTGCATTCCAGAAATGGCTTCCGACATCCCTGGATCAGTGACCTTGCCCGTGGCCCCCATGGCGGCCACCGGACAGGTGAGGATGACCGGGGCCATGCCGGCCCGTGGAGGAAAGCGGCGTTCTGGGTAAGCAGACCCAGCGTTTCCAGGAATTGGGCTTCATCCGTGTTGCGCAATGCTCTTGACCTGTTAGGGGAATATTGTCTCTCTCTCTCCCGGAGAATAAAAGCTCAGCAGTTTGTTTAGATTTTGCAAGATCCCCAAGTATGCATGTGATTTGCCTCTGAGTGTCCGCCCCAGCGCCAGCTGCGGCCTTCTGTTTGCTTGGCCTCATGGTGGGGAGGTGCTTCGTGGTCCTGCTGGGCCTTGCTCAGGCCATCTCTGGGCGGGGGGAGCTCACGAGTACTCCTCTGGGAGCACCCCAGCCTGAGGGCAGCACTGCAGGCCTGAGCCCCAGCCCCACGGCAGCCGGTCTCTGCCGGGTGGTGTGCTAGAACTTTCAGAACCTTGGCTCCTTCGGCCCCGCAGCTGAAGGCCAGGCGTGTGCCTCGTGTGCTTGCCTTGCTGGTGAAGCTGCTGACCGTGGTACGTGCCAGTGCCCCGGGGGAGAGGGGCACGGAGACAGCGCCCTTGGGCTGATGGGCCCGAAACCGCATCTCCTCACGCGTGAGGTTCCTGTAGTTCCAGACGGAGATCTCAAACACACCAGCCAGTAACAGATGCCTGCAGGGACAACGAGACTGACGTTCTCACACCCCGCCCCTCTCCGCGTCCAGTCCGTGTGGTTTTCAATGAGCTAGCTGATAACGGTTCTCATGAAGTAGAATCAGCCTATCCCCTTACTGCCATCCCTGACAGCCCAGGGCTCCCCAGGAGCAGGGGACGCACGGGCCCCAGCCCCAGGCCTGCAGGGCGGGCCCCGGTGCTGGCCGGCCGTGTTCCAGACCTGTGGTCCCTCTACCCAGCAGGACTCTGGGAGGGGCGGGGGGGACAGGTGTGCAGTCCGGCCCGGAGTGGAGCGCGGCCAGGATGGACCGCATGTTCAGTGCTGCAGGTCTAGATCGTGTGAGAACACTGCTCTGGGTGCAGCACGGTCTTTAAAGGAGGGGCTCAGCTTTCGGTTCATCCTGAGAGGGTGGGAAAAGCTGAGACAAGGAGCTCAGTGGCTGCTCACTTCCGTTCCCGGGAGACAGATCCCTGTGGCTGGCCCATTCCTGTTTCCAGAAAGGTTGGCACAGGGAGGTGGGGGGCCGTCAGGTACAGGCAGAGATGCTCAGGCCAACCCCTGTTTGCAGGGCGAGCAGCCCCTCCGTGCTGGGGGCCGGTTCTGAGCCCCTGCTAGGCGTTCCTGCCCCCCACCTCCTGCACGGTGCTGGGGGGTCTGTGTGCAGGGCTGGGCTGCAGGGGCCGAAGCTGACCCTAGCCCACGTCCAGGCCCTGACTTCCACTGGCCGACCTGGCTGATGATTGGACCATGGATCAGGCTCTTTTCTGAAGACGTCCCCAGCTGTCCCTTCCCTACCTGATCTCGCACACACACACACACACAACACGCACTGGAGGCGGAGGGGGGACCTGGAGCGGGCTGAGACAGAGCCTGGAGGTCATACCGCCTCCAGCCACAGAAGTCAAACATCAAGAAAAGACACGGGAGATTCAAGGGGAGGGACAGCAACTGCCCATATGGTGGCCAGCAGTGTAGATACGGCGTGGGCCCTTTAAGACTGGCGGGAGGCCTGTCCCCCACTGTCTTCATTCAGGGGACCGAGCCTGCTTCCTTTTCCCTGTCACAGGGAGGGAGCACGGGAACTGAACCGTGGTTCCTTCTGCGAAACCCCAGGGACTTAGGGGCTTATCCTCGGCGTCTAAGCAAGGACACATGCATTTGCACAGGGCTCTTTCCAGAATAGTTCTTGCAGTTGGTGTCTTAACGCGGCTGGTCTGCTCCTGATAACACCTGACCGCAGCCCAAACACCTTGCCTCCTCCCTGAGCCTGTGGGGCGCTGGAGAGACATGGAGGGAGGGAGGGGAAGGGAGAGGGGCTCGGGTGGTAGGGAGGGGAAGCAGCAAGAGGCGAGGATCTCCTTCCTGCCCTCTGTCCCTGACCTGGTTTCTGGGGCTAGCTGCCCATCCCTCCTGGTGCTTCACGCCCCGCAGAGCTGACTCCTGGCAGGTTTGGGATCTGCCGGCCGCCTGCCTGGCCCATCCCTGTGGATCTCTCGGGCTCGAACATTCTTCCCCTCCTGAGAGCCTTCCCTGGGAGCCGTCAGCAAGCTGAGCGCCCTGCTGGCTGCCGGGACACAGGGTGAAGGTTCAGGAGTTTGAGATTCTTTGAAAAGTGATTCCACATGTGTGGGAGAGATGAGGTGAAGCGAGTCACCTTGTTCCCTTCTGTTGAGACCTCCCGGATCTCAGTGCCAGGGTGGGAGGGGCCCACTTCTGGTGAAGGGGGCACTGGCAGGGATGGGACGGGCTCTGCCCCCAAAGCCAGCCTTAGTCGTGGGGGTCCCTTCAGCCCCACCTTGGACCCCAGTGCTGGGCTTAAAAAGATTGTCGTCAAGGAAAACTGTTTCCAAACTGGGAACAGCCCTTACACCAGTGTGTCCGTCCACGGCTGGGGGAATGTGGTCAGGGACAAGGCGTATTCTCGTAAGCACGTCTCCTTTGGCTAATGTTCGTGCACTTACGTGTGGCTCCACTGTGGCCGCAGTGGCTGGTCCAGGCCCTGGAGGACGGCCGTTCCCGCACCCATGACCTCCCATGCTGTTAGCAGGCGCCTCGGGTGGCCCAGGGCCCTCCGGTGCTGCCACTCTGGGACCTGCCCTTCTCCCAAGAGCGTGAGTGAATCCCCTTTGATAACGCACGATTGCTACATGGTCACAGTCCTGGGGACACATCACGCACTCTGAACTAATCGCAAGCTCAGAGACGCTTTCCTGGCGTTTTATTGAGCTAAGAATTCTTGCCCATTGACAAGGAAGTGAGGCGGTGCATTTTCAGCCCATCCTTTGAAGACTCTCGCATCATCCACGTATTGTACTGAATTCTTTAAAGTGAATACAGTAGGACTTCAGAGTCCTATCTGGATTTCTCTCTTTTATTAGCCAGATGTTTCAGTATAATAGAGGCACATAAAAGACATAAAACAAAGGATGATTTACTAAGAGTTTTTATAGCAGAAGAAATAAGCCTAGCTCCGGTAGTCACATTTAAAGTAGGGGATCAGCGTCCTGGGGAGTGCTGCTCTGGGGAGCCTGTGTCCCCAGGAGTGTGAGACTCGTGTGGTCGGGGAGTTACCCTGAGCATCTGACCAGTCATTTTTGGACTGAAGTCTCTTCTGGGCTCACGCCCACATCGTGCTCTTCCGAATTACGGAATCTGATCGCTGCACATGGGTGATCACGTATGCATGGATGGGGAGGCATACTTTCATGGTCTCTAATTTTCTGTAGACAAATCCTGGTTCCCGAGCTCCCCCCTGACTCAGGAAACTCCGGCTCCAGAGCAGGGCTGTCCCTTCCTTAGGCCCTCGGCTCCCTCCATGGAGCCGCCGCTGACCTGGCCTCACCTGGGACCACGTGCCCGCCCAGATGGCTCACGTCCCCGCCTGTCTGGGCCGTCAGGGTCCGGGTAAAGAACGGAGCTGTCTTTACGAAAACCAGGGTGACCAACTACCCTGGTTGGCCTGGAATTTTCCCAATTTTAGCGCCGAAGCCCTGCATCCTGGGACTGCTCTTAGTCCGGGAAAATCGGGATGCTTTGTCACCCTAAATACCCCCAAAATCATGCAGGATGAGGCCGGGGGTGGGGGTGGGGCGCTGACTAATACGTGGCATCTTGCAGGAGCCTGGTTATCGCACTCCTATCAACTTGTGCTAACAGGCATTTAAAAAGATAACCGTACATCTCACACTCACTCGAGGTTTTGCTACATGCTGACATATGGCCTTAGGAATTTTGAAAATGCACTTTCTTTTCCGTAACTCTGAAACGTCTGCCGGTCCCCGGGGTTAAGTCCTCTCATCTCCGTGTGGCCAGCACCGTGGCACTTCCCGCGGTGAGCGCTGGGTGGCGCTGTGGCTCCGGGAACTCGGGAGCCGCATTTTGGGTGGGCTTGCCCAGCTGTCCTTTCTGGTAAAGGTGAGGTGGCGGCCAAGTGATTATGCAGGGTATCGATGGCTTTCCTCCATTCGGAAGGCCGTGCATCTGGCCCCCATTTGCCCACAGCACAGGCGAGTCTGCAGCGGAGGCCCCGTGCCTGGCTGTGTGTGTCTCCGCAGTGGTGTGGACTCGGTCTTTCCCTCTCCTTCCCTTCCTGACTGTGTTTCCTCCCCGCCTGCCCTGCCCTGGGTGCGTCGGGGTTTTGGTTATCTTGCTGTCGTCCCTCCCTACTCTGATCTGACGCCTTTGTTCTTCTGTTTCTAGCAGCTAGTGTGGCCCACATGTCTGGAAATGAGGTTGGATCTCACTGGATCCCCTCAGATCATCCCAAACAGATGGATGCCCAGATTAGGACTCTGGGCACCCTGCATATAACGCGAAACAAAAATAAGTGAATGATCCCATTGTAAAGAAGAAAATACTCCTTTGCCCTAATTCCAGTCCCTAAGTTCCCCGAGTTAGCCCGCGGCCGAGAGAAGACCATTTGTCTCGTTAGGGACCTCTCGTGTGTGTGTGTGTGTGTGTGTGTGTGTGTGTGTGCACGCGTGTGCAGAGATGACTCTGCCTCTGCACCCGGCTGTTCCCGGTGGCCTGGGCCTCCTGTTCCTTCCCCGAGCCACCACTGCTCACCTAGAGCCGGAGGTGGGGATCCCGATCCCTACGAGGCCGGCACACCCTCTAGTCCCGTGCTGAGCTGCTCCGGGGCGAGCTCTCCGTCCTGGCTACAGGCAGGCCCGTCGCCCTTCTGCTGGGAGTCCTGGGGACTGCACCTCGCTTGGCCCCTCGGGCCCACTAAGAACAGGCAGTGCCCTGGCTCTGGGGCGTTTTTCCCCAAGCAGCCCCCCTCGCCTTGAATGTCCAGGAGAACCAGGACATCCGCACTATTTCTCACTTTGTTCTTGGAAGATTCTGGGTACGGTTAATACTAATTAATGACCCCAGCATCTTCAGGGGTAATGTTAATTGACCTTAGAGGGGATTGGTGTTTCGAGAAGGAGAGTTTGGGGTATTAGTTAAACAAATACCTATCAAGACTTTTTAGTTTTATGTTTCCACTGAGAGGCCCAGAAAAGTGGGTTCTGAGTCTTTGGTGAATTTCAACAAGCAGACGAGTACTTGGAGTTGCTCAGGTCCCAGGTAACTGTTTCTCAGTCCCTGTGCCTTTGTCTGGGCTTGGACTTGCGGGGACAGTGGCCTGAAACGCCCTTTCCACTTTGCCTCATCCAGACTGGCCACCTTCTCAAGCTGCACACCCTGTGCTAATCCGTCTGTCGCCCTTAAAGCTTCCTGTTTTCTGAGCCCCTTGAGCTTTTTGAGCCTGCTGATGATGTGCCGCAAAATAAAGTGCAAAACGCAGTCTTGGTGCAGAATAAACGAGGTGGAGGGGGGCAGGAGCCCCCAGAGTTGCGAGGGGACATGGAACGTTGAACCGAGCAAGCGGCCGGCGGCCTGTGTGGAGCCCCGAGGGCCACAGCCCCATTGCTCAGGTTCCCAGCCGTACAATGCAAGGCGCGCACACGGAGGCCCTTCCTCTGCCCCCTCTGGTCCCCAGCCTGCTTGCCGACTGTGGGAGGTGGTGTTTCCTGAGGGTTGGGACTGGGACGCGTCCGTCCGACTGAACGAGGTCCCCTGGGTGGTGCAGCTTGGGTCACCCGGGAAATGTTCTGTCTGTAACGAGTCTCCTCGTGCTCTTGGCTTTTCAGGATGGACTTTGACGACGAGGATGGAGAAGGGCCCAGCAAATTTTCAAGGTGAGTTTACGTTCCTTGGAAGCCGACGGCCAGCCGTCACCGTGGCGGGGACACGCAGGGAGTTCAGTGTCTTATGTCACTGAGCAAGCCGTTGTCTGTCGTCTGAGCCCCGGCTTGTCCCTCGTCCTGTGCCCGCGTTTGACCCGGGACAGGCAGCACCCCGGCCGACGTCACCGAGGGAGGATGCTAACGAGGTATTAGCTCTGTTGGCCCTTCAGATGGAACAGGGACCGCCGAGTTTTACAGACTCCTTTTGAAAAGACAGACCAGAGCTCAGGTTTAGAAAAGACAATCGAGATACGGCCTCTTTTCCTACCACAGACAATAAGGGGACACGTGAGGAACCGGGGTGTCCCCGTCCGGATGCAAGCCCTAGGACTGCACTGTGAGGGCCGCAGAGCCATTTGGCTCGCTGGCCCCGTGACGGCGTGGGAACCAGGCTTGGAGGGCTGACCTGAGTGCAGACCGTGTCCCGGAAAGGACAGTGGGCCGCGGGTGCTGGTGGTGGTCAGCGCATCAGGGCAGCCGCCTCTCGGCCCGTTCCTCTTTCTCTCTCCTTTTTTTTTTCCTTTTCTTTTTTCTGGTTTTGTTTTGTTGAAGTTGAGTAGGAGGTTTGGGAGTGCTGAGAGAGAGGCACAGATCATTCCATCGATCTTAGCGAAGTGCCCATCTGTACTCGGTCCACTCACGGAGCGGCCTTCCTGGATGTTCCTCCCCACCTCCGGCAGTCCTAATTCCTGGTTGCTGATGAACTTGAAAACCTGCCCCTGGTGATGGGTCCCTTCCTCTGCTGTCTGCACTTCAGTTTAGATTGACGGCCTGGTCCTTAGAAGAATGATGTCCGTGGGGCACCCTGGGCCCGTGGACCTCCCCAGGCTGCTCATCCCATGGCAGTGGCTGTCACTGAGCCCACTTCCTCCCCAAACCGGAGAGGCACAGGCGTCCCGTTGCCGTTCCCGGGCCTCCCGGAGCCTGCACGTCCATGGGAAACATACCGTGCACCGTCCTGCGCCTCAGCTCTGGGGGAGACCGCAGACAGGACATGGAGAATGCTCTGCTCCGTAACGACCTCGGAGCTTCTAATCAGAACAAGACATGAGTGTCGGTAACAGAAGCGTGGGGATGTCCCTCGGTGCCAACGGGGCCCCAGCTCAGATGCCACCTATTTCTTGGGAAAAGCTCTAACTGCAGGGAGCACTTTGTTGCTGAAACAGAACTAGCCTTGGGAATGAGGGCACGTGCCTCCCTGTCCTAGTCCGTGCTCACCCCACACAGCCTCCCTTCTAAGGAGATGATGACTCTTGATGTCTCTGGGTCAGGATCCCCCTCGAGATAACATTCCAGACCGGGTCGAGCTCAGGAAATGATGATTTCTGGGGTCTCAGGACAGACGGGGAGAGATGCGGAGTGACCTTCGCTTGACATCGAAGATTGGTGTGAGCGATGAAATCACAGTGCAGGATACAAGGAGCTCATTGTCTGAAGGCCCGTCATTGAGAAACAAACCCTGGCCTCTGGGCAATGGTCTCCTACGGCTGTCAGCAAGTCCGGTTTTACTTAGAGTTCAGATCGAGGCTTCTGCGGCCACAGCCTTCCCTCCACGCGTTAAAAACAAGAGGGGAGGACGGGGCGGGTTTGCAACTTACGCTGGTGCTTCTTTCTCGGTTGCGTCTGTCGGGTCCCGGGGTCGCACCGCCGTCTCCCGGTGGGGTGGCTGACGACCCGTCAGCCAGCAGGTGCACCTGAGCCGCTCAGGGTTGGGGCCGTGTGCACAGCACCCCCACCCTCCCCTGGGCCAGTGGCCGCTCCTGCCCCCGCCCCTCTGCTTACCATCAGCCCCGAGAAGCCCCGGGCGAGAGGGCGGCTGAGGTGCAGGCCGGCACCCAGCGCGGTTTTGTGCCTCAGAAGCTGACCAGGGCGCGGAGCCGTGCCTTCCGTCCCTGACGTCCGTTCGGCCAGCTTTCCCAGCCTTCCTCGAGGGTGGTCTGAGACTCACTCGTCCTGCCCACCATCGGACCTCATGTCGCCGTTTGTCTTCAGGGCCTATGGCCCCAGTCACACAGGAAGCCAGTCCGTTTTCTTAGAGCGACGGCCAGTGGCTTGGATACGGGGGTGCCCACCCCCCCGGATGCAGGGCTGGGGGACCGGGCAGGGGCAGCAGAGGGGCGGACGCCCAGGTGGCTGGCGTTGAGCAGAGGACAGCTCCAGAGCGGCCCGAGCGAGGCCGGGAGCAGGGAAGGCGTGAGGCTCGATCCCGTGAGACAGGGAAGGGCAGCTGGACACTCACAGAAGGGAGCCCCTCTGCCGCGGCCAGTGGGCTCTCGTGCTCCTCCATCCCTTCCTCTGTTGGCGTCCTCTGAGTCCGCCCAGGGGCACCCCAGACTCTGGTCTCAGACGCAGCATTAGCCTCTGCGCCCCCCAGACGAGGAAGGGCCTGCGTGGGGGAACAGCCGGCTCCCAGGAGCCGCGTGCAGATAGGGGGACGTTGCAGCCCTGGGAGGGTTTGGCGGAGGTCTCCTGGAGGAGGGGAGGCTCCCGGGAAGGGGTGGCGACAGGGTGGGCTCCCTGCGTCCTGGCACCACAGCTGTTGGGCGTGCTGGGGCAGGGTCCCCGCACCGGGCGGCATCCGCTGTTGCAGCCCACGGGCCACGGGGACAAGGGCCTCGAGGGTGGTAGAGATGGGGGCCTGCGTGCCACAGGAGGGGCGTTTCGCCCAGAGAGGCCGAGAGGAGCAGGGGTGCAGAGCGACCTCTCTCCTGGGGCCGTGTCTGGGGAGGGCAGCCTGACCTCATGGGCGCCTCCGGGAGTCCCCGTTGCCTAGTCACTGGCCCGCACGGCAGAGGGTGACGAGCTCTCTGTCACCGGGAAAACCCATCACACACCAGAAAGCCTTCCTGCCTTGGGAGGTTGGTTTCAGTGGGTTGGGGTTAGGATTAGGGTCAAGATGCTTTGGAATGAAATCTGTTTCCGGTGGAGCCCACTCTCTCTCCTCAGGCCGATGTGGGCCGGTCTGCTCTTCGTAGAGATGTTTGGAGCTCGTGTGCTTGATGTGGTTTTGGTGCCTTTCTCACCTTGTCTGGCTGCCCCCTCCTCGGCTTCTGTCCTGCAGAGATGAAACTTGACTTGCAGTGACAGTGTCCGGATAACAGCAGGACTTTGTTGGGGAGGAAATCATCTCTGGGGTCATCAGTCGTCCTGAGCTGTGTCTCTCTGGAAGCTGCCAGGCATTTCCCTCCCCCTTGATGCCTTAGCTGTCTTTGCCTCTCAGGCAGGGGCATTCTGGCTCCAGATCCAGGACCAGGGAGCACGCCATTGAGGAGCCTGGCTCAGGTCCTGCCAAGTCAGCACCTCTCTGAGTCTCAGGCCCCTCTTCCACAGAGGGTGGTTGGGGGGGTGGTCAGATGCGGTGATCGCTGAGGCCCTGGGGAGCTGGAAGCTGCTATATGAACAGGGAGGGGGGACTTCTTTACCCACTTTGGAACGGTGGAGAGGATCTTCCAGGGAGGGAACAGGCGTTCCTTGGAGCACGCGGGAATGCCTTGACCGAGTGCCCCTTTCTCCGTGATTGCCCCCACCTCCTTCCTGTGGCTGCCTCCCGTCTCCCCACAGTAAGCAAGCCCTAGCCAATCACCTGAGAGCCGTGTCTCCCGAACGGTGGGCGTCCTTCCCTGCATGGTGTTTGCCCCGAGGAGCGGGGCCCTGGCGCCACCTTCGGGAGTTTGCAGCACTCCTGGGGCTCAGCTGTCAGCTCGCGGTTCTCCCAGCTTTCCCTCCGGGATCGGGCAGCACCCCCACTTCTTGTGCTCCCCATTCCTCGCTGCTTCCCAGGCCGAGCCTGCCCTCCATCCAGCCTGCCCGCGCCTTTCTGACCCTGCTGGTCTCCTCCCAGAATACACCTGCTGGTCCCGCTGCCGGGTCGCGGCCCGCCTCTCCAGCGCCGTGACCCCCTGGGCAGCCGCCTCTGTCCTTTCTCCTTCTGCCCCGTGGTTTTTATGCTCCACGTGCCTTTCACAGCATTTAGCTCTCTCCAGGCTTCATTTCCACTGTGCAAGGCGCTGCCTCACCCTCCTGGCTAAGCCCCCGGCTGCCGGAGGACAGGAGTGGGCGATCTTGTCTCCTCTCGTCCCCTCCCCACGGTGCCTGGCTCAGCACTCCTCGGACGGAGGGGGAAGGTGCCCCCCGGGCTGCCGGGGTCAGCTCGCCCCAGCACCATGAGCTCTGCTGCGGGCCAGGCTTCCCCTGCTGGCGCGGGCAGGGGCCCTCAGTGTGCGCGGCTGGGGCAGGCGTGGGGTTGTGCCCAATGGCCCATCTGTTGCCCGGTTGGGAGGGTGGGTGTTCAGCCGACTCGGTACACGCGGGGCGGGCAGGCTGCCTCATCCACGTTGTCCCTTGTGTGCGGTCCGTGTCCCTCCTGCTCGGAGCCCCGGTGAAGCCCTAAATCCTGCCGCAGACGTCTCGTGTCTTTCCAGACCCTGTTCTTTAAACCCCAGTAACAGCTTCCTGCCAGGGTTGTGAAGCTGAGTTGGCTCTTACTCTCTTTCATCCTAAAGGTAATAATACCAAGATGCAGACATTCGACCGTCCTTCCTGCTAGTTTTTCATCTTAACACATCAGAGATTGAATTCGGTCATCCCTCACGGTGCTGCTTAGATTTTAATTGGCCAGTCGGGGTGAATAAGCCAGGGTGCACCTGTTCTCGGCAGTGGGTGTGTGGGGCCCGGAGCAGAGGTCTCCCTGTGGCATTGCCGCCCACTTAGTGATGGGAGGGTGGCGAGGCCACGCGGTGCTTCTCACGCGAGGGCCGGAGGAAGGCACACATCCCCGCGGACCGGACTCCACGAGCGAGCAGGCGTGTGCGAACGCGCCCGCCACGCGCAGATCCCGGTGTGCGGACGGAGCCCTGTTGGTTCACCTCCCGCGGCCTGAGCCGTCCGTGCTTGGAGAAGCACACTTGGGTGCGTGGGAGTGGTGGGCAGGTTCGGGACGCATTTCCAGGGGAGACGGGGCCCCGTGGCGGCCTGTGTGCCCCCCGCGCAGAGACAAAGGCCGACCAGGGCGTCTGAGAGCCGCCGTGCCCGCGAACGTGCAGAGCACCGGCCGCTGGGAGGCGGTGTGGCTCTCGGTCCCTCGGCGCCCACGGATGTGCCCTGTTTTGTCCTGTTCGATGGTGACCCCCGGTCTGACGCGTCTCTTTCCCCCCGCCCTGCTCTTGTGCTTTCGGGAAGAGAGAACCACAGCGAGATCGAGAGGCGGCGGCGGAACAAGATGACGCAATACATCACGGAGCTGTCGGACATGGTGCCCACGTGCAGCGCGCTGGCCCGCAAGCCGGACAAGCTCACCATCCTCCGCATGGCCGTGTCACACATGAAGTCCATGAGGGGCACCGGCAACAAGTCCACGGACGGCGCCTACAAGCCTTCCTTCCTGACGGAGCAGGTACCGCGGTCTCCTGCGCGCGGGCCTTCCTCGGCTGGCGGCGTCACTGTGGGACGGGGACAGAGTAGCTGTCCCCGGGGTGAGCGAAGCGACGCGGGGACGAGGGGCAGGTTGAGGAACGGGTGGGATCGGGAAATTTCACTTCCTTTCTTCACGGCAGCGTTTGCGTGAACTTTGAGCCTTCTGCTTTTACGTGTCCCGTAAACCTTCGTGAGCCTCACTGTGCGCGTGTGTGACACGGAGCTGGTCCGTGGGACGCACGTTCTGTGGGGGTGGTGCAGACGCCAGGCCAGTGGCCGTTTGGGATGGCCGTGGTGATCACTGTGACAGGATCAGCTTGGCGGGCGCTCCGCTGGCCGGTGCTCTGGGCCGGGCCGGGGTCCTCCGTCTCCGTGCGTTTTTGCACGTACTCCAAGTACTGGTCCCTGCCGTGTAGACAAGGAAGCTGTGGCTTGGAGAGGGTCCGCCGTTGCCCGGAGAGTGTCCACGGACGGCTCGGCAGCCGGGCCGGGAGCCGGCGCAGGTGGGTTGGGCCCCGGAGTCACCCTCCTCACAGGTGGACGGGGCTTGAAGGGTCGGGAAGAGCAAAGACGCCCCATGGCTGGGGGCGGGGGTCGTATCTTACAGATTGTGCAAACCACTGCATGAACCCAAGGCCTGTGCTCTGTGCTCGGCCCTTCTGGGCGCCACGCGGAGGGCAGACCCACAGACGCTGTCAGCTTCGGTTGGCTCATCTCTGAAAGGAACGGGGCTCTGGGCCTCCCTGACCCCGAGGGCTTTGCAGGATGAACAGAAGGATGGATCTGGAAGTCCTTGGTGTGTGGTGGTGGGCGGGGGGACGGGCCGTGAGGCGGTCGTGGGACAACGTGCTCTGGGGGTGCAGGAGGGGCAGAGCCCCACGTGAGGGAGGATTTCGTCCCCAGGGCTCCCCAGCATCGCTGGGCTCTGAGGGGGCCCCAGAGCGTGCCCAGAGAGACGGGGAGCGGGGGCTTGACACGGGGGGATCGTGAAGGCAGGGCCTCGGGGGAGGCAGGAGCAAAAGGCGAGTCTGGAGACAGAACTGTCCGTTCTGCTGGAGCTGGGACCTGTTGGAGTCGGGGGTGAGGTTCGGAAAAAGGACAAGGAGAAGGAGCGGACACGGGCGACTGCCTGCCCTCTGGCAGAGGCGTCCTCTTCCGCCATCCTGGGGGCCATGGGGCGCCTCACCTCGCAGGGCTGAGGAGGTGTGGCTGTGCCGTGACCGGGAGGACCGGGAGCTTGGCGCCCAGCCCCGTCTCCCCCTCCGTAGGGGACGCAGGGGTCGCCCCCACCTCCTGTGGTTGTGGGGCTTACTGAGCACAGTGTAATCAAGGGGGGACAGAAACGTGTTACGTGCCCCCTAGCCACTGGGGTAAGAACAAGGCTTTTCGTCTGCTCTTAATTCACAAAAATCCTTCCGGGTCCATGTTTGAAATGAAGCTCCTCGTTCTTATGACTGAGGACTAGGAAGTGAGGAAGAAGGCAGTCGTGCGCGTCCCACGCGTCCAGCCCGTATTTCTCCCTTGGTTCCTTGGCACGTGGTTGATGTTAACAGCAGCTGCATCTATTAAGCCCCGACTGTGTCCTGAGCCCTTGCCAAGCCTCCACACATAAGACCTCATTTATTTTTATTTTGTTAATTGAATTGAATTTTATTTAAATTCAATTAACATATAGTGTGTTATTAGTTTCAGGGGTAGAATTTAGTGATTCATCAGATGCATACAACACCCCGTGCTCATTCCATCACATGCCCTCCTTAATGCCCATCCCCCAGTTACCCCATCCCTCCACCCCCCTCCCCTCCAGCAACCCACAGTTTGTTTCCTAGAGTTAAGAGTCCCTTATGGTTTGTCTTCCTCTGATTTCATCTTGTTTTATTTTTCCCTCTGTTCTCCTATGATCCTGTTTTGTTTCTTAAATTCCACATATGAGTGAAATCATATGATAGTTGACAAGACCTCATTTAACCTCACAAAATCCCACTGAGAAGAACCATGGGAAGAAACGGAAGCTGAGGACGGTAACGTGCCCAGAGGTGCACGGCTAAGAGCTGTGGATGAGAGCCTTCTTTTCCTCCAGAACCCACGCTTGCAAGCCTTCCTGTTGGTTTAACCAGAGAGCGGAGGCTCGGGACCTTGATCACGAGTGACAGGCTCCCAGAAGACAAACCTGGGGGTGGGGGTGGGGG